CACTGGCCCTCATATGTGGGATCCGAACCAGGGACCTCTGGCGTCCCAAGCCAGTTCTTAACCAACACGCCACTCGGCCGGCCCTGTTTATTTATTTTTTAATTTAAGTTAAAAATTACACCACTGACTATCCCATCTCACAGCTTCTATCTTTATAGTTCCTGGTAAAATAGGCATATATGGGAGTCCAAGAGACAAAAATAAAAAATTTTTATTTTACGTAAATGAGCCACTGAGATGTTTTTCTACCCCACCGGACAGGGAGCCCTATAGCTCAGCCACATGTTTAAGGCGAGACAGTGAGAACAAGACTTGGAGTAAGAAGACATGCAGGGTCTCAGGATGTCTGCGGTCAGGGGAGGAAAGGGCATTGAGTGCGTGGCGTGTCTTAGAAGTACAGAAACCCAAGCTTAAGTCAAGTGTCACACTGCCTTAGGGCCTCATCCAAGAGAACTAGTAATTTGCACTTTTCTAGACGCAGAGGAGAGTGCAGCGTGAGCCTGCCAACTCTGCGTTACTTAGCCTGCCTCATGAACGTGTTCCCGCTCTGACCACACCCCACCGTTTTATTTGTGGAGTATGAAAATCACAGATCCCTGCATGAGCCCTATTACATGATGCCAGCCCTTGGTGTAACACTGTGTGAGGAGAGTCATGTCAGGGAAGATGCCCACATACAGGCTGAGGTTACAGCCCCCCATGGCTATCGCTTTTCCTTCCAGACCACTGTGTGCAGTGTGAAGAAGCGACCTGATTTCCCCACTTCAGGCCAATGGGAGGTGGTCACGGAATCTGAAGGGAAAAAGGAGGTGAATGTCTTCGATGGGGTCATGGTTTGCACTGGCCACCACACCCAAGCTCACTTACCCTTGGAAAGCTTCCCTGGTGAGTAGTCTACCAGGAAGGGACACCCTTGAACCATGGCTGTGACCTGATCCCTGAGGAATCGGAGGATTTCCGTCTGAGTGATTATTTGTCCTAATTCTGCCTGTCCTTTGGCAAGATGTTGGGGTAACTGTATGACTGCCGTTTGGGAGCTAGAGGTGATGGTAATTTTGGAGAGCAGAGGATAGTTAGAGGGCTCTATATCTAGTTTCACAATGACTTAGTTTTTCTAAGAATCAAAAGAAAGAACATGGAGTTGATCTGTATTAGGCTGGATGAGGACCTTTTTCCATAATCAAGGAAACAAATAGAAATACTGAGTGTATAAAGAAGAAATTAAAGCTTGAGGAAAGAGTTTATTACAGTCTTTGGCCGGGATTTTCATTTTGAAAAGAAAAAAAAAAGCACTCTGTGTACACTCTAGAGTTTATAAAAACATATACGCCAATTGAAATGAGAGTAGGTATTTAAAGAGGATGAAAAAACAAAACAGAATGGAGGTTTGACAGAGTACAGTAATACCTCGGTTTGCGAGCATGATTCGTTCTGGAAACAAACCACTCGTACTGCAAGATATCGCTCGTTTACCACGTTAACAGGTATTAGAAATGTTTGCTCATCTTGCGGAACACTCGCAAACCACATTACTCGCAAACCAAGGTTTTACTGTAGTTTGGATTTCTTGGCCTACAAGTCCAAAATACAAACAGATCCTGAATGAAGGAGACTACTTACAATAAGGGAATCACAAGGGTCTGCACTGAGGCCATGGGAAAAGAAAACGGGCCAAAACATTCAAAGGCAAGAGGGTCAGCTGAGTAAAGGGAGAGTGTATGGAGAGCGTATGCTTAAGCTCTACACACTGCAGAGGAAAAATGATTTGTCAGACGATATCCGATAAGCCATCACCTGCTCACTGTTTTCCCTTCTCCTGCAGGCATTGAGAAGTTCAAAGGACAGTACTTCCATAGCCGAGATTATAAGAATCCAGAGCCTTTCACTGAAAAGAGAGTCATTGTTATTGGCATTGGGAACTCTGGAGTGGACCTGGCTGTGGAGACCAGCCACGTAGCCAAGCAGGTTTGAATCAACAAAATTATTTCCTTTGCTTTGCCCAGAAAGCTGTGGGTGGACATAGGTCTCAAACATAGGGAGACCCTCACCCAGCTCGTTGGTGCCAAGGGCAGATGCAGGGCTTGGTTTTGTTGTCTCACTTGGAGCCAAAGCTGCCAGTTAGATTCTCATCATTCAGTTGGCCTCACCATAAGGGAATTAGGTCATGACCATAGACTGTGCTCATAATCCCAGTCAGCCAGTCCCTTCAGCGCGTGGCTCCGGCTTTGAAGGAGACCAAGTAATTGCTGGGAGAGCTTGTTGGACTGCAGCGTTTAAAAGTGTGGATGTTCTGTGGGTCCGCAGGAGCGCCATGCTCTCATGGGATGGAAAACACCCCAGGTCACAGAGAGTTTGGCACTCATAGGATGGTGGGGGAATTTTCCTCTTCACCCCCCAAATGGAGAAAAGCAGCAGTATAACCTTTCAAAAGGCCACAGGCATGTCACTATGAAAGTGTCCCCACTGTGGGACATGCAGGCAGCTCACCCCAGCCTTTGCATATAGCTAGCTAACACGGAATGGCATTTGCTCTAATGCAATTTCTGTGTCCTTCAGGGTTTGTTTGTATCATAGATTTTGAACTGGGAAGAAAGTGTCTTCATTATAAATCCCTAGGGAAAAACGTGTCATTTTTATATTTTGTCATTCATGTCGTTATTTAATCATAACTTTATTGGCAACAGTTAAATGCCAGGCTGTTCTTCAGTAACTCTAATTAAGCTGTGCTTCTCCACAAATATGTTATAAATTACTTTAAAAAAAAAATAGAAGTTTAATGCCACAACTTTGTGAAACGACCTTTACCCAGAAACTCCATTCAATAACACTTCTCAATACTATCCCCATCTAGCACCAAAAAAGTGATTTTATATGTTACTCCGTGAACTAATTCAACAAGCATTTATCAGGAAATAGCTATATAAACAAGAAAGGATAAAANTCTTTGTGCTTGAAGTTGTTTGTTGAGTAAATGCATAATGTGGTGACATATAAAGATTGGTTTGATAAGCACATGTTTCTATCCTATCCACAGAAAGACTCCACACTTTGCTCTGTGCCGGAAGGAAAAATATTCATGGAAAGGTCCCCATTTATATATTTTGGTTGCAGATCCAGTAAGCCCCCTGTCAGAGGGTTTTCAGTGCCTTCATGGGATACTACTTGATGGCAATAAAACAAATGAGGGGAAATGTTTTCCAATGAAGACAGGGGAACTGACATATGGGATGTCTGGTTTCACAGCTTGTCTGCTATTGCTTGGCCCTTTTACACTTTCCGAAGTATTTCCCAACACATTATTTTATATGATGCAACACCCATTGGAGTGGTTATTGAGAAAGCAAAGATGTTAACTCTGGGGAAGAGGGAAGAACACTGAATTGGGGTAGAAAACCTTGCAACTAGCCTTTGTTCTCCTATTAATCACTTGTGACCTCAGATAAGTAAGTTCCTCGTCTTCATGTTCTTGTCTGTAAAACAAGATGATTGCACTCCATCATGTCAGTGGTTTCTTCCTGCTGTAAAGTCTCCCACGATTTTTCTATCATTTTGAGCCGTGGCCATAAAAGACCCAATATTTCTGACAGCTGGCAAAAAGCCCAAATCTTCTACCTTTTATTTCCTAGTGATGAGAACGCTTAAGATTTACTGTCTTAACAACTTTCAAATACGCCATCCAGCAGTGCAAACTATAGTCATCGTATTGTACATTACACCCCAGGACTTGGTTATCTTATAACTAAAAGTTTGTACCTTTTGATCACTTTCATTCAATTCCCCTCCTCTAGCCCCCTTCTACCTTCCCATCATTCTGCTAAATCATGCCTTTTCTGTTTAACAACAATAATAAAATGGTAATATCCAGTGACAACTTCCAAAGTGAAGTCATTTTCAGCCAAGTGGTACTTCCCTTTGCTTGTTTTAACAGTAAAAATGCAAAGATAATCAATCGATCAATCAATCAATCAATGACTTCATAGTCTAATTAAGGCGATAGAAAAAATTTATTATAAATGTAATTGATAAAAATAGAGTGTTGACCTTACATAACATCATCCAGATAGTTCTCCAGAAAAATGGGTTTATTCAGGAACAACAAAGAACTGCAACCCATACCGTGCAAATCTGCTAAAACAAAGGAGAGGGGGGACTCTTTTATGGAAGGGAAGAGGAAGGTGGGAGGGCTGGTCCAAAGAGTTCTCCCTGCTGTGCTTCGCCATCCACCTAGGGCATGAGCGCTTGCCCTTCCGCCTCCCTACTTCATTTTAAATGAGGTTTCTGTTNACAACTAAGATTGAAGGACAACAACTTGACTTGGAGCTGATGGATCCTGGAAAAACACAATGCTCCCCTCCCCATTTTCCGCCCACCACTACCCTGCCAAAAAAAAAAAAGCTAATTTTCCTAAAATCTCAAGGGAGATACATTTAGGTACGTGGAGGGGGAGGGAGGGAGGAACACATAACCCTGCTTTTTTCTTTCAGGGAGAAAGTAGCATTAGACAGAAGGAAAGACGTTTGGGGACAAGAGGCATTCTATTTGATGGTAATTTGTGAAGACACTACACACTAGTTAAAGGATTTCTGGAGCAAAAGGAGGAGAGAATCCAGAAGGAAAGTAAACATAAGCACTGTTTTTTTTTAATAAGAACTTTTAGATTAGGTTATCGTGATGTGACTATTGAAATATTGATGACATTTTCATAAATAAGAACCACATCCAGGGCCAGCTGAGTGGCTCAGTTGGTTAGGAGTTGGCCGGGACGCCAGCTCTGAGCAGCAGGGCCCCGGCTCGATTCCCACATGGGCCTGTGACGCTGCGCCCTCTACAGCTAAGATTGTGAATTACAGCTCCACCTGGAGCTGGCCTGCCCTGAGTCGCTGGTGAAGGCGAAGGCTGCAGTGGACCTGGCCAGCAGCAGAGTTGCTGTGAGCTACTGTGAGTGGCCGGCAGCCGGCGTGAGCTGCCCAGAGCCACCATGAGTGGCCCTCCAATGGCCGGCGACCAATCTGCCTCTCCCGGGAAGAGCACAATGATCACAATCCCAACATGGGCCAGTGAAGCAACATCCTCCACAGCTATACTGAAGAACAAAAGGACAGCAACTTGTCTGTTCCCCTCCCCCAATTCCCCAATAAAATGTTAAAAAAAAAAAGAACCACATCCAAAACAGAACCACATCAGAAAGCAAACTCATGCTTTTTCTTTACTAAGAAAATATGTAAAACTCCATCTTTGAGGCTCTTCCCCATTATTCTCCTGTTAGGCTGTGTTGACATCTTGTGTTCCCCACTGTGTGTGTTTACTATATTTTCATATAATTCAGACCATATATCGAGCAGGAATCTTTCTGATGAAGCCCAGAGATTCCCCAAACCAAAGATCTATTTGGGGACATATTTTAAAGTAGCAGAAAGAAGGCAAGCGATAGCTCAGCTAAAAGCAGTTCAAATAAAGTGTTGCAAAGGCAGGAGTTAGGCAAAAAGGGGATGCAATACAGAGATGAAAAAACGGGAGGACGACTTGTGGCTAAACAAGAATAAAATATCCTCTTTGTAAAGGAGCAGGAAGTACAGAGATTGGAAGCCCAGGCTTGAAGTCACTGCCTGGTTTGCACCCCTGCCTTTCTGCTTCCTTGCCAAATGGAAAGCATAGAGTTGCTGAGAGGATCGTGTGTCCACTCCCATCAAGCCTTTTGGACCATACAACACAAGCCCTTGAGAAATCAAGCCACCACCTACCCCTCCAACAAACCCTGACTTCTGTCAAAAAGGGATTCCTGCGTTGGATGGGCCCTGATTCTGACCCAGTGAGTGAAATCCTATATCCATCATATAGGCCTTTTCTGCATGATCTTAGGGTTGAAAAACTTAAGTTACATTTCAAAAGTGGATGTTTTACGTTGTTAAATTGTACATGGAACTGCATGAGAGAAAGCTTTTTAAAAAGTATTTTGATTTCATCGACATTGTCTGCGTTTTGGTCTTCTCCATGGAACTGTTAAGTTCCTCTAAGTAGGACACACCCGGCACCCACTCAGTGATGGGTGTTGTAAAGTGAATTCTATCAGTAGCATAGAACCAAAGGTCCAATCTGTGAGGTGGGGGTGGCGGAGGGGCCGGGACCTGTTTTAACAGATCTCCTGAAAGGTTCGGATTCTACACTTAAACTTTTGGAGCGAGGCTTCCTTTCAGGTTGTTGAATGTTTCCCTTCTGCAGTAGGAGTTTGTCCCTTTAAGAGAAACAGCAGGAAGTTGAAAGTGAGAACAAAGGGGTGAAGGGTTGGGGAGCATGGGGATACAGGCCGCTCCCACTCCAGAGTAGTTGAGAGTGTGGGAAAAAGTAGCTGAAAACCAGAGGTTGTAAGGTTAATTTTTTCAGCCTAAAGCAGGGTCCCTTCCCAAGCTTAATTCCCTCTGAGGGAGGGGTGTTGGCTGAAAGAGGAGGTGCGCACAGAGCAGCCCCTCCCTATTGAATGTTGCTGAGTTTGCCCTTTGTTGCTTTATATTTCCTTGAGAAGGGCAGAAGTGCAGAGCAGAGGATCCAAGCTGAAGGGGTCTCTGCCCAGGGGCTGCAGGCAGGAAAGGCAGTGAGATCCAGTATGACCCCCGAACTCTCAGCTCTGGGCCAGCCTCTGGGTTTTGGGGATCTTGCAGGCCCGGGACTCCCCTATCAGATGCTTAGCAATTCCCTGTGGCTAAGAAGACAGGGGAATCTGGCTTCCCCAGAGGCACCTGTTGTTGCAGGTTTTATTCGGATGCCATGGCCAAGGTCTTCCTTGAGAGGTGGTAACTGATGTGTGTTTTCTGTCATCTGTCATCCTTTCTTTAGGACAAGTTACGTCGACCCGGCCCTGTGACGATCTCTGGAGACCATGACCAAGAAAAGAATTGCCGTGATTGGGGGAGGTGCGAGCGGCCTCGTGTCGATCAAGTGCTGCCTGGATGAAGGCTTGGAGCCGGTCTGCTTTGAAAGGACTGATGACATCGGAGGGCTCTGGAGGTTCCAGGTAAATCTCCAGGTTCTTTAACACTTGGAACGCTCGCTGCACGCAGGTGCCTGAGCTGTTTTATCTCGATTCAGGAAATATGATGGCCTTGACAGTGATTACATCTGCTACAAGTCAGCTTGCGGACCTCTTCTCAGCAGCTGTCCCCTCCCTGCAAGTTCCTCTTTCCCTAGCTGGCAGCAGAGTGGGACACAGATGTCACTTGTTTCTCCCTTTCCTGATATTTAGTAAAGTAGCACAGAGGTCATTTTCATTTAAAGAGTTTTGCTGCTCTCCAGGAGACGGTAACAGGAGCGGGGTGGGGGTGCTGACTAAATAACAAATATCAGAACATGTAAAGTGATTTAAAAACTTAGAGTGGTTGCTCATGGTCTGAATTAATAGGTAAGTCCCTTCTAGGAATCCCCCTTTTCAATCTTCTCTAACGTTTTTCTTTCTTTTCTTTACTTTTTTTTTTATTCTGGTTCACTTTAGATAATTCTCTAATTATTCTAGTCCTTCAGTAGATTATGTAACATGGTTGCCTTTGTTGCTTTGTATGTTTACTTTGCTTGAGAAATCAAAACAGCAGTTTAAAGTCCTGTCTTCAAAAGTAGACAGAGGGCACCGGGACTGTTCTTGTCCTTGAATATAATCCGTTTTAAAGTCCGCTTGTTTTAATATGCACATCCAGCACTATGACTTGTTACTAACAACTAAGGTGTCATCCACTTAAATGATAGTGGATGCCATGGAATATCAACCCCCTTTCCTGATCTCCAGAGTGACCTGCATTGGGGTTTGCTTTTAAACAAACTCTCTTTCCAAACCAGGGGATGATACCGAGGTGTCCAGATATGTTTCCTATTTCATTAAAAACGAATGCAGTGTTGACTGGCTACTTAGAAGTGGCTTCACAGCATTCATTATTTAAACAGCAGTACAGACCTCTTG